GACCCAGATCACAGCAAGTGGGGAGAAGCTATAAAAGGGGACAATGACGGCATGTCACTGTCCCGACAACAACACACCTGGGAACACCTGAGGAACAAGGCCTGAACTGGGGGAAGTGCTGGTCCCAGGCGAAGGGATTTCTAGCCTGGGTATAAAAACCTGGCAAAGCGAAGGCAGCTTGTGCCTTAAGGATCTGCCAGCCTCTCACTCAGGGTGAGAATTTGCTAATTCATATCCTAGCTCTCGGGGTGCTAAGCTCAGTTTGTGGTTTTGTTTATGTACTAAGGGAATCTGCTTTGTTTGCTGTCACTTATAATCACTTAAAAGCTATCTTTTGTAGTTAATAAACTTGTTTTTGTTTTGTCTAAAATCTCATGGGGGGTCCGACCCTTCCAAGCACTAGAAAGGGGGGCGGGACTGGGGGTCTGGGCTCAGGGGCCAGGCCGGGATGCTCCATTAGGCAGTGCCAGTCCCTCAGCCCTGGGCCTGGCATGGGCCCCTGGGCCGAGCCTTTCTTCCCGCCCGGTTCTTCCCTGGGCCCTCAGGGGGGAAGGCAGCCGGTGCAGCAGCCGAGGGACGTCTCAGCCCCCAGTACTCTTCTCTCCCTCCTCCCAGCAGCCCCCAGGGTGAGCTGGCTGGTGGGGCTGCCCCAGAGCTGGGGGGGAGGCCCTGGCCCTGGTTCGGGGGCTCAGTCCAGGCACAGGGCCTGTGTGTCATGGAGCCCCAGGATTGGTGCCACTGCCGGCTTCTAAACAGTCCCTTGGGGGAACCCTTCAGTGGGGCAGCCCCCAAAGGCCCCACGCACCCCCTGGGCCGGCCCTGCAGCCTCCAGCCTCCTGCGTCACCCGTGCTTTGCTGGTGAGCCCCACAGAGCCAGGCCCGGGGGGCCCAGGCAGGGTTGGCAGCTCTTAGCATAGCCCAGAGATGCAAAGGGGGGGCTGGGAGAATGGGGGAGGGGCCATCGTCCCATTGCTTCCCCATCTCCCCTGCTCCCTGATGGTGCCAGGCCAGGGAGCCCCCCACGGGCCCCATTCCCACATGGCTCCGCCCACTGCTCCCCTTAGCCCTGGGACAGCCTGGCCCCACAGCTGGCTTTGGGGTCCATCGCAGCCTGGCCTGGCCCCCCACTCCTGAGCCCTGCCCAGGGCGTGGCGGCTGTGGTGACCCCCAGTGAGGCAGATCGGGGTGTCTGTGTGCTGGACCCTGCCCTGGCGAGAGCCCCCTGCCCAGTGCCATGGTGCTGCCCTGCCCCTCCCCCAGCCCAGCCCCCAAGGCCCCTGCAGGCAGGAGCAGAATGTATGGGGGGTCTGGGGGGGTCCCAGCATCCTCCCCCAGGTACCCGCGTGTCAGGGGCTTGCTCGTCAGCCGCTGGGGGCCAGGTGAGCGTCGGGAGGGGGGGTCTGTCCCTGCACAAAGCATTCATGCCAGACCCCCACAGGCCAGTGAGTGGCCCGGGGCTGCTGCCCGGCGCGTGGCTCTCCCCGCTGGCGATGGGGCACTGGGAGCGCTGCCCCCACCCAGCCCCGCGTCACGGCCCCGCAGCCAAGGCCGGGCAGCCGGGGCCGCGCCCAGTGGAGCGGAAGGAGCTGGCAGCGGGCGGGACAATGAGGCATTCAGCAGGCGAGCTCCTTGGGTAGCCCCAATTAGGGTAGCAGCCAGGCGCTCTGCTCGGCGGCCGAGCCGCGACGTGCCAGCCCTGAGCACGGACAAGCGCCCTTGGGTGCGGGACGCCCCGTGCACCCCTGATCGATGGCCCTGCCCAGACTCAGCCTGACCCCCCGGCCTGTGTGTGGCACGTCTGGCATGGGGTTCTGGTACCCACAGGGTGAAGGAGAGGCAGTGAGCCCAGCGTCTCACCCCTCCCAGCCCCCATCTGCCCCAGGTCCCCTGAGTGCGACTCTCCCCGTTATACAACTGGGGAAACTGAGGCACCAAGCGAGCGAGGGACTTGCCCAAGGTCAGTCAGGGCCCGAGGCCTGGCTCCCAGCCCCCCTGCTCTAGCCCACTGGATCCCGCCCACCCAGGAGCCCTGGCTCCCCGCCCCCACCCTGACTCTGACTGGCAGATTGTATCTC